TAAGGAGCTTACGGAGCTTTGCAGCTGGAGCCCAGGGGCTCAGCCCCAGCAGCAGCCGGTCCTGGTGGGTGGGGGAGACCCTGCCACAGTCCCCCACTGCCCCAGCCAAAGAAATCCTCTTAGGGGCTGCAGGGCTCAGCCCCTTGTCCCTGTCCCCCAGGGCATGGAAGAGGGGACCACAGCACCCCCACACACACCTTTAAAGGGTGCAAGGAGCAGCATGGGGCTCCACTGCAGCCCCTGACCCACACCAGGGTGGGGACTGCTGGCGCCAGCCCTCCCGGCACGTCCCCAGGGCTGGCTGTCCACGAGCCCTTGGCTCTGCCCATGCAACCCCCCCGTACCGTGTCCCCCCCATGTTTATCTCAGCCTGCTGTCACCAAGCAGTGCCCACAGCTGCAGCAGCTTAGGAGGGCGCCTGGGCGGCCCTGGGGACACGGCTCCCTCGCCGGGCTCCTCTCCAGCCATCTGCCACCCCCCCGCCCCAGATCAAGTGTGCCTATGTCCCCTGGCCGAGATGCCAGCACGGTGGGAGGGGAAACTGAGGCACAAGGTGGGGAGGAGCACGGTCACACAGGGGGCTGGCAGCAGAGCCAAGAGGAGACTCCACGCTTGATTTATTCTTTTTAAAGTGCTTTCTTCCCCATGCAGGAACTGCCCTGCCTCTCACCCGGCCCCTCCCGGCCAGGGCTGCCCCCCAGCTGGACCTCTGTGCGTCTCTTCCGAGAGGTGCCAGCACGGCTGTTCCCATCGCTGGAGTGGGGGGGTGGGGAGCGGCTCCCTCTTTGAAGCCCCATGGAGAGCCCTGACCCCGAGGGCTTCCCACAGTGATGCGGGGAGAGAGCCCACCCTTCCTTCCCGCACGCTTTTCCCACGCCGGACGGGGAGCAGGACACAGAGGGATGAATCACCATCATCATCATCATCACCACCTCCTGCATCCTCGCAGGGAAAGCACAGACCTCACCGGTGCCCAAGCCCCTGGCACAGAGGCCCGGTGAGAGGGGGCCGCAGGATGTGTATGGGAGGTGGGGGGGGGGAATTGTTAGCAAGGAGATGATTAAAAATATCCACCCTATTTCTGGCCGGCACCAGGCTGGGATCTGGGAAGAGCTGCTGGCAAAAGGGAGCCATGCCGGAGCCGCTCCCTGCACTGTTCTTTCCGTGCCGGTCACCTTCCTCCCACCGACACACGGACAGGAAAGCCTTGAGGGGAAGGACAGACGGGCAGGGATGATGGGCGTCACGGGATGGTGGGGGGGGGGACCAGGGGATGACCCTCCACATCCCATCACCCTGTGTGGCGGCAAAGGAGCTCATCTCCAGCCCCTTTCCTATTGCTTCGTTATTTTATATATTTAATTTTTTTAAAAGCTCTCGGAGACTATGGGGCTCTGTAGAGGATGACGCAGGCCCCGGGGAGCTGCGACAAACCTCCGGCGCGCGATAACAAGCAAAGGCAAACAAACCCAGAGACGCTCCCGGGGCTGGCGGGGCTCCAGGCAGCACGGCCGAGGCGAGGCGCCGGGGGGACACACACACAAAACAGGGACACAGCAGCTCGCGCCAGCACAGCTCCTTCCTCAGCACCTAGCCAGGCACCAGCACAAGGCCACAGCCACCTCGGTCCCACAGGACAGGACCCTGGCCCAGGGATGCTGAAGGAGGGGATCTCCACCCCAGCCCAGCAGCATCCCTCCAGCCATGCCCGTGTCAACGGCTACCGGGTCCCCCACAGTACCATGGCCACGTCCCTGCAGGCCAGCCCAACTCATCACACCGGTGTCCCACAGCCCAGCTCTCATCACGCCCAGCCCCACCACCTGCAGCTGCCCTGGGGGATCTGGGGCTGGGGATTTGGGTACCAGCCCTGGCTCCCCATGCAAAAGAGCATGGCTGGGAAGTGCTGCTGCCACCTCACATCCCTCAGCCCCATGGCTTCGAGGAGGCCACCTACAGCTTATTGACTCGGGAAAGCCACTTACCAGTGGCTCACGTGTGGCTCCTGGCTGGCCTCCAAGGAAGACCCTGGGCTAACTCTCTCATGCTGCTGCAAGAATGTGGGCGGGGAAGGGGAGAGTGCCATCCCCCCCCTCCGGATCCCAGTGTGCTCGGATCTGACAAGCCACCGGCATTTCTCCTCCATGTGGAATTGCAAACTGGCCCTTTTCCCGCCACAAAACTCACCTCTGAGCAGCGAGGGCAGGGGGAGCCCTGCCAGACCAGAACAGGTAGGAGGGAGAAAGACTCGAGATCCCAACACGGGCAACTTGGGTGACATTCCCAGGTCCCCTGGGCATGGTCAGGGACCTCTGCTCCACCAAACCGGCACCAAAAAACCCAACCCCAAACCAGCCCCCACCCTGCAGCACAGCAGGCCCAACCATGCTTATCCAGAATTAATCCTGCTGCCCGGGGCACACCAGTGGCTGTAGGATGGTGACAGGCATTAACACACACCTTGCCGGAATGGTGGGTGCTGGGTCTAGCCAGGGCTTTGCCGGAGCCTCCCCTCACTGCAGCTGCGAGAGAGCAGGGACAAGGGACACATCCCTGGGTGGGAAATGGCAGCGGCCAAAGTGCTCCAGCAGCCCCCCAAAACCCTCCAAAACAGCCTTCTGGAGAGGAAAGCAGTGCCTGCCATACAGGGAGGAACTGCTCACTTCTTTCCAGCCTGGACTTGTCCCCAGCCTCTTCATACCAGCCATTTTTCCTGATGAGACCAGCCTTTAACGCCAGCGGCTCTCCCTGCCTGCACCATGTTTGCCATCAGCCCCCCCAGCCCCTCCTGCCGGGCTCTGCCGGACCGGAGCTGCCACGCTCAATTTGGGCTCTGCCACCGCACCCTGGGCTGGCCGGTTCTGTGTGACCGGAGGGCAAAGGCACAGTGGGACAGCACGGCAAGGGCACATGCAGCACGGCCCCGGCTCTCCCGCGGCGGCTCGCCTCCCCCAGCACCCCAAGGGGAGGCAGACACAAGGCTCCGTGTGCCTGTCACCCTCCTGACACACATCCCCAGGCTGGGACGCATCCAAGCAGGCAGCCAGCCCCAGCGGGGCCCAGGGCGATGCTAGAACCGAATACGCTGTGTTGTCGGGGCAATTTTTGCTCTGCTCCGAGGTTTACAACCCTGAGCCATGGCTCATCGTCCCCCATTCTGACCCCTCTCAGCATCCCTGCAGCAAGAGCTCAGGACCAACGTGTGCCCCAAAGCTGATCTAAGGGTGCCCCGCTGGCTCCCAGAGTGGGCTGGGTGGGTCAGGCAGCCCTGGTACCAAAGGGTTAAGCCCCTTCCCCCCGCCCAGCATTCTCCCCTCCTGCCTCTTGCAGGCTCCCTGCCAGCTCCCAGTCGTTAATACCAGCTGGGGGGGTCGGGGTGGCATCAAGCTGCTGTCTGGACTCGGGGTGCTGCCGGGGGGGGGCTCTCTGCACCTCGGCACCCAGCTTCGCCAGATGGAGGGAGCCACCCACCCGTGAAGGGAAGCATATTGAGGGGACTGGGCAGGCTACCAGCCTCCCCAGACTGGGGAAGGGGGCCAGTCTGGGAGCTCAGCCACACTGGGATACAAATCCCCACGGAGATTTCTGGAGTTGCAGCCTGCTGATACACCCCACAGGTGAGGAGGAGGAGCAGCAGCCCCTGCCCTCCTCCACCTTCTTGGTGTCCCACCCTGCCTCCCGACTCCCACTGCCGGGCTCTTACCTTTGAAGGAGAGCTGGACCCTCGGGGTGGCAAAGCCGTGGTCCTTGGCGTGGGTGGCCCGCCAGCCCAGAGTCAGCAGGGTGGCCCAGAGGAGGACGCCGACCACAGGCATGGTGGGCACGCGCCTGGGCGCCAAGGTCCAGGGGAGACTGGGGGGGGGTGAGCCTGCCAAAGAGGGCACAGGGGGGAGGGACATCAGTTTGCTGCACCCACCACCCCCCTGGGGGGGGGGGGGGG